AAGCATAAGCGCGGTGGATACACGCAGCAGTGTCTCCCCTTTGCGCCACCGCCTAAGGAACCTCTGACCCCCGTGGCAACACCGCCTCCTCCACCTCCGCCTTGCAGTACCCCGGGCACCGATGCCGATACGGAGTACGACATCATCAACCGCCGCTACGTCGATGACTAGTCCCGTCGCTTCCCGTGGTTGCGCATGCATCGTATGAAGAATGGCCGCCCGTCACTGAAGTGCGCAATATGTCTGCAGTACGGCGGCATTTTCAGCAATACGAAATATGGGAGGAAAAGCGAGGGCGGACGTGACCTGCAGGTTGGCAGCATCCGCACTCATCTCGGAACCCGAGCGCACAAGGACGCTCTCGCGGCGAAAGAAGAAAAGGAGCGGGAGCGCGATCGCCAGCGCACCCTCAACCGGTGGCAGGGGACGGACGCTTCAACAAAGCACTTGATTCGGTGCCTCCACATCGCCCTCTTCGTGTGCAAGGCGGATGCGCCGATAGCCATGTTCGTCGCGCTCTGCTTCTTCCTCGCTCGTGAAGGACTGCCGGATCTCCCGCCAGGAGGGGCGTACGGAACCTACTATACCTAGTAAGTTGTTTTAGCCTACGCCTTTGAACAGTTGTCGGTTGTTTATCTTGCTTTCCACATGCATCGAAATATTTTTTCACCTTACATAATGAATACTAACTCGGTTTGATGTTGCTCCCCCTGCGCCCCACTCCCCGCAGCTACGGATTCAAGGAGTGCTTGAAGGCTACCTCACAGTACCTCCGCGACCGCCAGGTGGAGCACATCCGCGCCTCCCCGTTTGTCAGCATCTCGATCGACGAAAGCACGGATAGGGTGCATGGCAAGCACCTCATCTTGTATACTACTTTCTTCAAGGGGTCGGCCATCGTGACAGAGTTTGTCACGCTCCTGACCGTGGACCGCACCGACGCGGCTTCCCTCTCCGCCGTTCTTGTGCACTACCTCCAGTCTATCGAGCTGGATCTGCAGAGGATCGTCGGTGTTGCCACTGACGGAGCCTCCGTCATGACTGGCGAGAGGACGGGCGTGGTGGCCCGTCTTCGTGCACGGATTGAACATCTCTTTTCCGCTCACTGCATTGCTCACAGGTCGGTTCGCTGACATGGTTCAAACACTCAAATCCCCTTGCTGCCCATGCATCCTATGTTTACATCCCACCCATCTCCTTCTTTCCTCCCGCCTAATCACAGGGAGTCGTTGGCGGCAAAGGACGCGGCGAACCTAAACCCGGCGCTACAGATCGTCGACACCGTCATCCGTGGCTTTGCCGAGTTCGTCGGGCGCTCGAACGTACAGCACTCGCATTTCATGAACCTGCAGATGGTTTTCTGCATCACCAACCTTGAAGCCCAGGGGATATACGCCATCCGCTGGCTTGCAAGAGGAGAAGCAGTGCGCCGCTTCGCGGATGTGCTCCCTGCGGCGATCGTCCTGCTTCGAGAAGCCGGGAGCCACCTCTACGACATCATGACGTCCTTCAAGTTTCATTCCCTCCTCTACTTCCTCGCCGACGTCCTGGCGGAGCTCAACCACCTCAACCTCCGGTTTCAACAGAGGCACGTAAGTGGTCTTCAGAGGAACCCTTTTTCATGCTACTAATACTCTACTGTTGCTATGTCTAAACTCAACGTCAAGCCGTGCACATATTTAGCCGTAACTGGTTATCTCTATGCACATGACCCTATTGCCCCCCTGTTGGCAGGTGGACATCACGGTCGTCGCTGCAATAGTGGCAAACACGTGCAGCCGCATTCACAGCCGCTACATCAACTGTGGTGATGGTCTTCAGTTTGGCAACGGAGACAGCGAGCTCCTCGGGGCGTTTCTCGACCGCCATGGCTCTGCAGACAAGAGGCAACACCGGGTGTCTGGTGTGGACACCAATGGAAACCCCAAGTCCTTCGTCTACACTCTCCATGAGCGACAGCTGGACGGTGATGAGACGGGCAGTGACTTGGCGTCATGCAACGTTATTGCGAGGAAGTACGCTAGTGATCTAGTCATCGGCATCAACAGCCGCTTCAACGACCTCTACAACCTTGACGGCACGAAGCTCTTCAAGGTGAAGGCCTACCTCAACAACGACGACCTGCGCATGGCCCGCTTCAGGCAGTGGTTGAGGCAGTTGGCCGGACTCTTCAGGAACAAGCTCCCTGGTAAGTTGTGTGCTCAGTACATGTGTGTTCACCATGTGAGTTTGCCCAATGTGTTTGCACCTAAAGCACCCATGTCTCACAACCCCCTCTGTTGTTTACTCCTCTTTGTCCCCCTGCAGGTTTCGACTACCAGAAGGCTGTGAGGGAGATGTGGATGTTCACCAGCACCATGGCCTCGCAGTACAAGGACGACGAATTCTACACCGCACTGACCCTCACCCTCGACAACAACGACTGGCAGCGAGGCTACCCCAACATCCTGAGGCTGTGGCAGGCGGTGGCAGTGCTGCCTCTCAACACTGTCGAGTGCGAGCGTGGGTTCTCTAAACAGAACCTAATCAAGACCTGGGGCCGGGGTAGCCTTGGGGATGACCGCTTGGGTGACTTGATGCGATGCAGCTTGCTGGAGTACCGGGTGGACTGGTACGCTGTCATGGCTATCTTCCGTGCAGAGAGGCACCGTCGCCCCACCCGAGACCTTCATGGGGTGAATCCGGCCCCTCCTGCACCTGCTGAGCCCTAGGGAGAGACTCAACCTCTGGAGGAGCCAGGAGTGGTTGAGTAGGATGGCTTGTATAGCCGCAGCTAGGGTACATTACTGTTGCACGCTGACATCTAAGTAGCTGTAGGTAGGCTAGCTTAATGAAAGTATGTCGTCGTAGGTAGGTAGGCCATGTAGAGATAACTGTCCTTGTTAACTGCAATATTAAATTGCTCACTAAAGTGTACCGCAATCAGTGTGCATAAAAAAATACCGTGAACAGACAGGGTGCGAAATTTTTTAGGCTGCAGAATCAGACTCGAAAAATAAGTCACCCCTTACGTCAGGGTGTTTTGCCAGGCGAACCTTGATTCCAAAGTGTGCTCTAAAACCAATTTTGGGCCCTGGCGGGATCCTAGTCTAGTGTGATACCATCTCAGAGTAAAAAGTTGACTAGAATGATGGGGTACAAGGGAATATAACATAAAGTGTTGTACTCTATATGAGCATGCACCTTTCTAACCTATAACACATACAAACTATATGTTGACAATTTGTCCTTACTGTCTCGCTGACTCTTGACTCTTGAGATTCTGACTGTTCGGTTGCACGGTCAACAGTCTGCAACCGTTGCCCTATCGTAACCTCTGCAGGGTGTTGTCAATATGTGTCAACCGTCGGTGGTACTGTAGTTGTGTTGATTCGGCGATCCTCGTTGTTGCAGTCTTCGCGTATTCGTACACTCACGCGAGACTCCAGAAATGCCGTAAGTTTATATATATATATAATTTCCAACAAACATTGTATGCCTTTGCTATAGCCAATCACTTGTTCTCACATACGGTACCTGTACAAGGGTTCAACTCAAGACTTCCGCTGTGCTATCAAGCACTCTGTTACAAGGAGTTAGCCTTATGAAAAGATCCTGGGGCTATACTCAGCCCAACAGACGACATCTTTGCCGCGCGTCGTAACCATGGATACCCAATTAGCCCATGCTTTATTTGAAAACAACAGATTGGGAAGCATTGATCATAAAAGACCAACATACGTGAAGGATGCTCAATAACATAACATTCCTAAACTCGATTGCAACTCAGGATTAATATCGGGATATATTATATAGAGAGCGCATTATAGAATGCTGCCGAGTGTAAAAATTTGACATTGATGATTAATATTGGTGATGGCAATATATCATATATGGACAAGTCGAATAACGAGGTGATGTAAGTGTAGCTTCACTGAAATTTGAAATGCGTCAGCTCTTCTGGATGGAAGATGCGCGTGCCCGGCCTTTCCGGCATGGACAAGGCTGCTAGGCTGCTGGTTCATGAACTTGGTTGCGGGTGCCGTTACCCGACTGTACACCGGGTTTGCATCCATCTGCCTCTATTTAGACGAACCGCGTGGGTTAAGCAGGCGCACTTTTTTTCGCTAGCCTTCGCCACGGTAGAATGGGCCGGTAAGTGGACACTTGTGCTTTCGCGAGCTCCTTTGTATGGACACTTTTGCCGCCGCCGTGTCGCAGGTGCCACAAAACCCCAGTTAAAGGGCTATCAGGTGAAAGAGCCGTTTCCCATAATTGGTGGCGTATGGGCGCAGGTTGAGGACTGGTCCCTGTCTGTTTTCCAAGACTCGCTGGACACCTGGTGTACATGTGCCGAGCTGGATTCAAGTTTGCCGCAATGCAAGTTTCAACCGCGGCTCCTTCAACCGTGGGTCAGCCTCGGGTCTGTCTCGATGTGGGGAATTCCCTGATAATCGAAATCCCAAAACGTGATTTTGATCCCCAACAGATAACCCCGTCCTAAGGGCGTGGTGCAGCCGTAACTTACGAAACAAAAGTCCGGACGAGAGTCCGGATCTGATTCGCGAAAACAGCCATTGTTTATTCACGACATCTTTACGACATCGACGATTCTAGTAACCTTTTTAGTCCGGACCAAGTCAATACGTCTGCACCGCGTTATAAATGTGCAGTTCGCACAGTTTTTTTGTGCCCTGCCCTGGGCTGCTCCTCTCCACTTTTCCTCCCTCCCAGGATCACGCGCGGCGGCCGCAACTTTCCAACTTCTCATGGCCAATCGAACCGCTTTTAGGGTTTTGATTTGCTCAACAACACGGATGTGGCTTGCTTGTCCCTTCGGAATTCGAGAGGCCAACAATCGGAGCTGCAACCTCGAACGGTGTCGATTGGAAGCACTCGAAGAAGCTTCCTTCTTGCTCTCGCCTCACCCTCGCCTCCTCCTTCCCCTCCCCCTCCCATCCATGCTGAGCTGACTGATTCATCCCCTACCTTCTCACCTCCCATAACCATGCCGTTTGATCCGCGCTGCAGCATGCTAAATCGACCATGGTTTATGTGGAGCCATCATAGAGCAAATGATAAAGTCTATGTCTCTTGATACTAGACCTGCTTTGTCTTCGTCTTTAGCACCCCGATTCCAAAACCTCCTGTACTACCGTTTTTTTGTCTCATAGTGTTCGTCTGGTCCTCCCCTGTTCGGAACTGGCAACTCGTTCTTTCGCCTTGTTAGCAACTGGCGAAACTCGTTGCACGGGCGCGTGATTGCCCCGGCGCTTAAACCTGTCATCACTCCCGTTGCTGCGTGCGGTTCTCTCGGCCTACACGCATGTGCGGACATACCGACCCTCGTATGTCGGCGGGAGGATTAGATTAGCGGCAACAGCGCAGTGACTCCTGCTGTCGTCGCTTAGGGTGACTGGTGATTAGATTAGAGCAGAGCACCCGCCGCTGTTACAGTCGCCAGCCTCGCTGCTGTGCCACGAGTTCTCGGAGCACTCTCACTGAGACGCGTCTTAAAGCCCGTCATCCGCGACACCACTGGTTATATCGCTGGTTACATCACTGGTTACAGCGCTGGTTACATCACTGGTTACATCGCTGGTTACATCATCGGCTCCACTTCCCTAGCGTCCCCGCGTCTTAGCAGCGTCGCGGCGCTCCGTCCGATCCGCGTCGCGCTTGCTACTTCTCTGACCCCGCTCGCGGGAGCACTTTGAGGGGGCCGTCGCTTGCCAATCTTCTGAAATAGTTAAGGACGTGGCGAATTGCGCTCCCGTTCACGCACGCTCAAGGCACGAGGAAACGGGAACGGCGCGCGGAGACACACTTGCCTCTTAGTCTCTTAATCTGCCCTAGAAAGAGGGGGGATTCTGGCGTGTAGCGGGAGAGGATCGCGAGGGTCGCGAGGGCCGGGGATGACTGGCGGAGTCTACGGTTCGAAAGGGTCCGGGCGGGGGATATCGGCTCGGCACCGGGAGCGGTTGCGCGACGACGAGAGCGGGCGGGGCAGCAGGGGGAGCCATGGCAGCCGCGGGGAGTCGAGCGGGGGGAGCAACAGCGGCGGAAATGAGTCGTCTGTGAATGGCGGGTCCAGCGCGTGGGCGATAGATTTTACAGAGGTAGGCCGGCCGGGGGAGGCGGGCTAAGGAGGTAGGGTTATAAGGTGCGGTTGGGAGGTAGTTTTAGGAGGTAGGGGTCATGAGGATTAGGAGGGATGCGGAAATAGGCGGAGTGGGGCTTAAGACTAACTGTAGCAGACGTTGGTGGGAAGGCCGCCGCATACAGGGCTCTGAAACATGCTTTGTTAGGGGTGGGGAGGGGAAGTCAGGAAAAAACGGGTGGGAAAAAGGGCGTGGGGTGGGGGATGGATATGCTGGTGTCGGGCTTCGGTGTGGGGGCTTTTGGTTTAGCTGCCTGCTTGAATGCCGTGCAGGCAGTGCCGTTGCGTTGCGTTGCGTTGCGTTTCTCCCATGTACGTCGCTGCCTGCGTTGATCACCAACACCACCACCACCCCCACCAACCCCTGCTCGCGTACTGCCGCTCCTGCTCTTCCTCCCAATCCCACCTCCCATCCTTTCTTCAAGCTGAACAGCAGAACCCCACCTCCTCCTCCCCCTCCCCCTCCCTTCGTCCCTTCCTATCTCCCCGTGACGTTCCTCACCCCCCTCCGTCTCCCCCGTTTTCTTCACCCCTTCTTTGGCCCCCGTTTCTCTCCCCCTGCTGCGACACTCCTCCCCTGCCCTCCGCCTCATATCTCTTCTCCTCCTTTCGCCGTGTGTACGGCTTCCCCCCTACGTTTCTCCCTTCTTTTCCATCCACCGGCCTCCATCTGTTTACAACACCCTCTATCGCCTTCCACTCTTCCTTTCCTCATATCCTCTCTCCCTCATTCTCTCCCTCCCTACCTCTCCCGCCCCCCCTGAACTATCTACTACCTCGATTGCCCGAACTTTCCCCCCTTTCAGGTCGAGTTAGGCGAGCTAGTAGCCACGGGTTCGTTTGGAGTGGTGCACAGAGGCGTGTATCGCGGACAACAAATAGCAGTCAAGTTCCTACTGTTCCCAGAAGCTAGTAGCGAGGATGAATTAAATCGAGCCAAGAGGGGATTCAGGCAGGAGGTTGCAGTGTGGCACAAGTTGCAACACCCAAACGTTGTGCAGGTATGTTATTCGATATAGTGTGATTCGATATGTGACCTGAGCCAAGTGGGTAGCTCGGTACACCGACTGGGAATCTCACCGTAATAGCGCACTTAGGTGGGGCCATAAGAAGCTTGTACCATTAGGTACAGCAGGTGCATAAGGCAAAGCATGAGCAAGTGTAAGTAGTTAAGTTCTGAGACGTCTCGAAATATAGGTACAGCAGCTGTATTAGGCAACTTTTGAGGCGCCTCATAAGTCTGGTTGTGAATTCAACTTGACAATCGCGTGTTGAAGCTTTTGGCAAGAGATCCCTTCGCCTTCAGGTCCTAATCCCCCCTCTCCTTCCCCTCCCACACCTTCCTCCCTCCCCCCCTTTCCCCCCCACTCGTTCCCTTCCTCCTTCCCCGTCCCCCCACCCCCCCCCCCCCCCTTTCATCTCAGTTCCTGGGGGCGTACATCAACCCGCCCAAGTGGGCCATAGTGACGGAGTTCCTAGAGGGCGGCACTGTGAAGGGCTTCCTCTCGCGCATAGGCAAGCACCGCCTGCCGCTCAAGCAGATCGTCTCCATGGCGCTCGATGTTGCACGGTACGTGCCTGCTCGTGCCTGCTCGTGCATTGCATTGCATGCAGTGCGAGAATCTCCACGTTTGAGCATAGGCAAGCACTGCCTGCCGCTCAAGCAGATCGACTCCATGGCATTGGGTGTTGCATGGTAACGAAGCTGCTGCTGCGGATGATGCTGATGCTGCTGCTGGCGATGCTGCTGGTGGTGGTGATGCTGCTGCTGGTGATGCTGCTGCTGTGTGATCTAGCTCAGGCTATTTGTAGTCGCAACGCAACGTGATTCACCACCCTTTCCCTGCAGCATCCCGACTTACCTTTCCCCTTTCTCCCACTTCTCTTCTTCCCCCTAGTCTTCCTCCCCCCTCTTCCACCCCGCCCCCCCCTCCCAGGGGCATGCAGCACCTGCACAGCCACAACGTGATTTACCAGTCCCTTCCCCTGTCTCCTTTTCTTCCAGCCTCTCTCACTCTGCGCCTCTTCCGTTCCGCCTCTCTCCATGCGCTCTCGCCCCTCCCCCTCCCCCCAGGGGCATGCAGTACCTGCACAGCCACAACGTGATTCACAGGGACCTCAAGTCCGCCAATCTGCTGCTGGCCGCGGACGCCAGTGTCAAGGTGGCGGACTTTGGGCTTGCGAGGACAGAGGCGCAGGAGCCGGGGAACATGACGGCCGAGACAGGCACCATCAGATGGATGGCGCCAGAGGTGAGGGGCGATGGGGGGGATGGGGGGGGAAGAGAGAGAGGAGGTTTTTGCGCCGACTGAGGGACTTTGGGCTTGTGTGCACAGAGGCGCAGGAGCCACGGAACATGACGGCCGAGACGGGGACCATCAGATGGATGGCGCCAGAGGTGAGGGGAGGGTGAAGTGGGGAGTAGGGTGAGGGGAGAGGAAGGGGAAAGGGGAGAATAGGCGTGTGAGCCAAAAACGGCCACGTGTGAGGCTGACGAGTGCTGTGGCTGTGGTGCACACCGTGCGAGGGAAGCGAAGCGACCGACCGCCTTGCCATGCATTCGTGCCCGCACTCGCAACCCACTTCACTTCACCCCTGGCAACCCCTTACCACGCGAGATGATCGACCACAAGCCGTACACGCGCAAGGTGGACGTGTACAGCTACGGCATTGTGCTCCGGGAGGTGCAATGTGAACCCCCCCCCTCCCCTCTCTTTACCAACCTCATACTGGTACCGCAGATGATCGACCACAAGCCGTACACGCGCAAGGTGGACGTGTACAGCTACGGCATCGTGCTGTGGGAGATCTGCACGGCGCAGTGGCCTTTTGAGGGGCTCTCCTTTGTGCAGTTGGCTCATGCAATTGTGGCCGATGTGAGTTGATTGGGGTGGGTGTAACCGAGGGGGCGTTGGGACAGTTGAGACGTGCACAGCTACGGCATCGAGCTGTGGGAGATCTGCACGGCGCAGCGGCCCTTCGAGGGGCTCTCTTTCGTGCAGCTGGCTCATGCGATCGTTGCCGATGTGAGTGATTCATTCCTTTGAGGCTCGTCAACCTCGTGGGGGCGCTGGGAGCGTTGGAGCCATTGTGAGTTGACCTGGGTGTGGGTGCGTGACTCAAAGTCACATCAAATTGTGTGTGGGTGCATGCCTTGTAGGGGGTGCAGCGGCCCTTCGAGGGGCTCTCCTTTGTGCTGCTGGGCACATGCCGTTGTCGCTGATGTGAGTGCCCCTGCTCTTGCTGGTGGGTGGCGTGCAACTAAGATAACTTAGCCAAGCTGAGAATGAGAAGAGCTAAGCTCAGCTGAGACAAGCACACTGAGCCAACTCGATAGTTGATCACAGCCCATAAAGGACTGCTCCAGCCAGCTGACAAAGCTGATCACGCGGTGCTGGGACAAGCGCACTAAGTCAACTGGCAACTCCCTGGCTCTCCTTATCCCCCTCATCCTCCTTCCCCCCCCCCTCCCCCTCTCCGCCCAACCCCCCCACAGGACCTACGGCCGCCCATAAAGGACTGCCCGAGCCAGCTGACGAAGCTTATCACGCGGTGCTGGGACCGGGACCCCGACGCGCGGCCGGACTTTGACGAGATCGTGAAGACGCTCGAGGGCATTGCGTCCAGCACGTCGCTCAGATTCAGGTGGATGGGCAGGTTTCTTAGTCTGCTGAAAGGTCGGCTGAAAGATCGAGTCAAAGGTCGACTCAAACATCAAGTCAAAGATCCGCTTAATGATGGGCTTAATGGTGACATTGAGAACATTGCATTGCGGACATCAGTTGGTCAGAATCAGGTGGGTGGGGCTGGATTTTCTAGTTAACTCACAGATCGGCACTGCAGCAACTCGCTCCAATTCAGGGCACAGATGGCTAGGGTTCAATTGTTCAGTCTTTGGCTGCTTGCATGTGTGTGGTTGTGTGGGTATGCGTGTGGTGTGCGCCTCCCCCCCCTCTCACCCCCTCTCTCCGCTCCACCTGGTACCCGCTTTCCCCCCCGTCTCCCTTGTCCTGCTCTAACCCTCTCCCCCCTCCAGATCCGACGGCCCTACAGTCCCCATGAGGCCAGCGCCCACAGGAGCAGCAGCAAGACCAAACGGCAGCACACAAAGTGGAGCGGGAGGCGGAGGGGGAGGGGGAGGGGGGGGAGGAGGGGGAGGGGGAGGAGGGGGGGGAGGGGGGGGAGGGGGGGGAGCAGCAGCAGCAGCAGGAGGAGGAGGGGGGGGGAGGGGGGGTGATGGCAGCGGCAGTCACGACGGCGTGGCGTCGCGGCACGGGCCTCGGGAAGAGCAACCAGCGGAGGGGCAGTGGACCAAGATCCAGGTGCCGACGCCGCCGGAGAAATCAATGGGCTGTGCTTGCTCAATACTCTGACCCTCGTGGTCCCTTGTTTTCTTCCTCTTCGTCTTTCTGTCGTTTGTGAAGGGGGAAGGGGTGGTGGGGAGATGGGGGGGGGGGGATGCTGGGGGGGTGCTGGTTTGGCTGGAGATCAAGGGAGGTTTCAAGAGGGGAGAGGCAGGAGAATAGGTGCTCCTTGTGCAATAGCGGGGAAAAGCAGATGGTGTTTAGGGTTAAGATTTTGGGGGGGGGGGAGGGGGGGAGGGGGAAGGGGGAGAGGGGGTGCACGGAGGGTCGGATTGGAGAGAGGGATCGGAGGGCGGAAGGAAGGGAGGATGAGTGACAGCATCTGGAGGGATGAGGTGTAAGAAGCAGCAGCAGCAGCAGCAATAACAGCAACGGAACACCAGCAGCAGTAGCAGCAGCAGCAGCAGCAGCAGCAGCAGCAGCAGCAGCAGCAGAAGATGAAGCAGGAGGTGCAGCGGCGGCAGAGGGCGATTGGCAAACTGACAGGAAAACCTGCCATGCACGTGCCAACAGAACCCGATGCAGCGAGAATAAGCCATTTACCAGCGCTCCTCTCCCCCCCCCCACCCATATGTCCTCTCCCCATCCGCCCTAGTTTCACCCCAATCGCTTTTCCTTCCTCGAGCATCCTAACTTGACTTGGGGCATTCGGCACCGCCACATTCCACCGCCCAACAAGGCTCATTCAAAGCCCAGCGCGTTTCCAGTGGAATGTGGGGGGCGCCCTCCTGCTTCCAGTGGATAGAAGAGCTTCCAGCACCACAAAGGCTGTTTCCAGAAGCTCTTCTGTCTGGAGCTCACACACCATCCGCTGCCGCAGCACCGCTTGTTTGCTGGAGAGGTCACAGTCATGCCAACAGGTTCAGATGGCTGGGGAGGAGGGCTGGGTTGGGAGTGGCTTCAGCTGGAGAGCTTCTGCTCTGTAGCAGCAGCAGCAGCAGGTGCTGGTGGGAGAAGGGGAGGAGCTGTGAGTGAGTCGACTCAATATTCAGCCAAAGAGCATCTGCAGCATCTGCAGCTTCTGCAGCTTCTGCAGCTGCTGCATCTGCTGCAGCAGCAGCAGATTCGGGTAGAAGGGAGGGGGAAGCTGGTGATGTGTTCGAAGCAGATGCATCGAATGCATTGCATAAAGTGCATTGATACTGGCTCGAGGAGGACTGGCTGGTCTGTTTCTCTAAGAAAAGGGGCTTCTTCAATCAACCTGCCAAGGATAGGAGGCGGGTCGGGGAGGAGGAGACCAGAACGTCCGGTCCGGTGGGGGGATCACTGAAGCAAGGAGATGAGACATTCTAGTGTGGCTAGGTTCATTCTTACAGGTACCTGTAGTACGTACTCGTTAGACCTGTACCTGATACTTGTGCGAGTGTGCGGGGGAATCAGGGCCTCAGATTGGTTTAAGGTACCCTGATTGCTTAGCCCCCCCCCCCCCCCCCCTTTTTTCCCTGAGTTTTCAGGACAATGTAAAAAATTCCGGTGAGCTAACAGGGGTGGCTAAAAAAAAAATCCAGAGTAAACAGGGTTGCGCGCTAGAAGGGCGCTGGACATCAACAAGAGCAATCATTTGAAACAAGCATAAAATAAGCCTAATCTATATAAGCATTCTCTGTTTTTTTTTTTTTTTTTTAACACATGCAGTGTTTTTCAAACATTGTGTATTGTGAAAGCCAAGCTGATTGTACTGAAGCGTTGGGCATCGTCGAAGCGCGCTACTCGCCCTTCTCCAACTACATATACGTGGGTTGGAGCTCATTTACCTCCACCCACGTCTCTCATTTTTCAAACAGCTCAATCCACTTTCCCGCTCTAGCTTTTCTCCCGTTCAAGCTGGCTAAGACTAGAACTTTGCCTCGCGGCGAGTCTCCCTCAACACTTCTTTCCGACATTTTTAAGTTTCACCGATCCGTCATGGCTCCGACTACGGATAATCGCGGCGAGCCCAACGTCGTCACCGGCCACCCCAATTCCGAGTCTACTCGCCAAGCCCCGGAAATTGCGGGCGACCGGCGCAACAAGCGTCGGGTAGAAGAAGGGGCGGCTGCCCCAACTGGGGTTGATGTCAAACATGTGTATTTGTCATGTTTGTATAGACTGTATAGGGTCGCCTCTTAGAGAGTACAACACTTAGGTATATCTGTGTGTACTCTCTATCTATCATTAACTTCTCAATTTTGTTATGGTATCACGCGTAGGTAGGATCCCCCCCCCCCCACCTACCGCTTCCGCTCACCCCTCTAGCGCCCCTCCTGGGCCCCGTCGCACCCCTCACTGGGCCCTGTCGCGCCCCTCCCAGGCCACGTCGCGCCCCTCCTAGGCCCTGTAGCGCCCCTCCTAGGCCTCGTCGCGCCCCTCCTGGGCTCCGTAGCGCCCCTCCTGGGCCCCGTCGCGCCCCTCCTAGGCCCCGTAGCACCCCTCCTGGGCCCCGTCGCGCCCCTCCTAGGCCCCGTAGCGCCCCTCCTGGGCCCCGTCACGCCCTTCCTGGGCCCTGTAGCGCCCCTCCTGGGCCCCGTCGCGCCCCTCCCAGGCCCCGTCGCGCCCCTCCTGGGCTTCGTAGCGCCCCTCCTGGGCCCCGTCGCGCCCCTCCTGGGCCCCGTAGCGCCCCTCCTGGGCCCCGTCGCGCCCCTCCTGGGCTTCGTAGCGCCCCTCCTGGGCCCCGTAGCGCCCCTCCTGGGCCCCGTCGCGCCCTCCCTGGGCCCTGTAGCGCCCCTCCTGGGCCTCGTCGCGCCCCTCCCAGGCCCCGTCGCGCCCCTCCTAGGCCCCGTAGCGCCCCTCCTGGGCCTTGTCGCGCCCCTCCTGGGCTTCGTAGCGCCCCTCCTGGGCCCCGTCGCGCCCCTCCTGGGCTTCGTAGCCCCCCTCCTGGGCCCCGTCGCGCCCCTCCTGGGCCCCTGTAGCGCCCCTCCTGGGCCCCCGTCGTGCCCCTCCTGGGCCTCGTAGCGCCCCTCCTGGGCCGAGTCACGCCTTCAGGCCCCGTCGCGCTCGCCTGGCCCCGTCGCCCCAGCCCGGCCTCGTCGCACCAGCCCGGCCCCGTCGCACCAGCCCGGCCCCGTCACGCCCGCCCGGCCCCGTTGCACTCGCCCGGCCCCGTCGCCCCCTGCCCGGCCCCGTCGCAGCCGCCCGGGCCCGTCGCACCCGTCCGGCCCCGTCGCACCCGTCCGGCCCCGTCGCACCCCGCCCGGCCCCGTCGCAGCCGCCCGGCCCCGTCGCAGCCGCCCGGCCCCGTCGCACCTGTCCGGCCCCGTCGCACCCGTCCGGCCCCGTTGCAGCCGCCCGGCCCCGTCGCAGCCGTCCGGCCCCGTTGCGCCCGCCCAGCCCCGGTGCGCCCCTCCTGGGCCACCGTCCTGCTCGCCCGGCCCCGTCGCACCGGCCCGGCACCGTCGCACCAGCCCGGCCCCGTCGCACCAGCCCGGCCCCGTCGCGCCCGCCCGGCCCCGTTGCACCGGCCCGGCCCCTGCGCTCGTCCCTGCCCCGGCCCCGGTCCTCCTCACTGGTACGGTTTCCCCCCCCCCCCCCCCCCCCCCCCCCCCCCCCCCCCCCTGCCCTGCACTGCCCTGCACCGTACTGCCCCGCAGTGCACCGCCCCGCACCACCCTGTCCTGCCTGGCACCGCACTGCACCGCCCTCCACCGCACTGCATCGCACTGTACCGCACGGCACCGCACTCCACCTTGCTGCACTGCCCTGCACCGCACTGCACTGTTCCTGATGGCGGCGGAGCTTCGCTTCGACGCTGAAGGCCAGCCTCTGGAGTTCGAGGCGTGGCTTGCCGACCTTCGTCGCCAACTCACTGGCCAGCGGCAGGATGCTGAGCCGCTTTCCGCACACCTTGACGGTACGCTCCCCTGCCCAGACCCTCCTGCTATTCTGCCCGCTGACTCCACACCCACTGAGCGCGAGTCCACTGCTGCCACTGCTCGTGCGCGCTCTGTCTGGCTTTCTCGCGATGCTGTCGCCCAGCTTGCCATCAGCAACGCCCTTCCCCCGTCCGAGCGCCCTCGCTTTAGGTCTCTCACCACTGCTCAGGCATACTTAGATGCTGTCATCTAGCGCTATTCCACCCCTCCGGCTGCCTCGGTGGGTCGCCTGATCCTCCCGATGCTCTTTCCTGACCTTGCATCTTTCCCTACTGTCTCTGACCTCGCTGCCCACCTGCGCTCGATAGATGAGACCTGGCGTGCAGCCTGCACTGATGCACAGCTTAGAGCCCACCAGCCGCCCATTACCTCTACCCTGTACCTGCTTGCCACCCGCCTCCCTGACCGCCTTGCTGTCGCCCGCGACCGCTTCCTTAGCATTCACCCCGCAGACCTCACCCTCACTGACTTTGTAGACACCCTGACTGTGATAGAGACCCGTCACCGCTCCATCGCCCATGCGAGCGGTGTCGTGCCGGTCCCTATCTTTC